AGTAAAACCAAATTACAGACTAGCACGAATGGCAAGATCTCACTGTTTTCAGTTATGTGCAGGTCTACAGAGAGGGCCTTTTATCTAGAAGAAAAATCATCATACTGGGGTTTTAAATTATGCTATGTTCCTTTTTGAATTGCTCTCATTTTCTCTGAAATGAATGTGTATAATTACTACAAAAAATAACAAGCATCTTTTTGTAGGGAAGAAATACCTAGAGTCTCATTTCAATCCATGTTATCCAAGAGGAGTTTTATGTAACCAAAACCAGCCTCCACAAATGGCTCCCTAGCAACTGTTTCGTTCATGTGATTGTAGACAATCCCTAACCACACAAAGCAAGGAAAGTCCTGCCTGCTTGGGCAGTCCTTCATAATAGTTATTCTTTGCAAACAAAGCTGAGGCTGGTACCTTCAAAACCTTAGGCTGGGAGGATGCAGGAGTGCCAGCTCCAGCAACCACTGAGTTCATCTCAGCTTTGGTCTCTTACTAGAGCAACAGCCAGTTTCAACGCCTCACTCCCTGCCTGCTCCAAACATCCTAGATGCCCTCATGTGAGATATCCCCAGTTCCCTATGTGCAGTGTCATACTCGCTCAAACAGCCCTGCCCAGCAAAATGCCGAAACACTGGGGGCAGGGGTGGGGAGAAGGGGAAGGATGCATGACAGCTGTCTCCTCCCCTTATTTTTCTCTGGCTCCTGTGCCGCATCTGCTCATCAGCTACAGCCGACAGGCCGCTCGGCCCATAAATATGACAGTGCCACATCCTACAGGTGTTCAGCCACAGGACAGGGACCGTCATCCATGCCACCTGACTTCCTGGGTCTTCTCACTTCTCAGTGTTCAAAGGAGAGGAGAGAAACAGCTATCAAGGGTCAGATGTGCATGTGCAAAATGACCTCGCAGCATCCAGTGCTAGGGCAATTGCATGGTTCTGTTCTCATATGACCTTGGGGACAAGGACTTCCCACAGAGAACTAGATTCTCTGCAGGCCTGCCCTACTTCCCCACCCTCCTCGCTCTTCCTGGAGAGTTGTGGGACATTTTCCCATCTTCTCTCCCCTCCCATCGCTACTTTTAGATTTGGCTGAGTTGGTTTAATGTTTCAACATGAAGGTACACCTGCAGTTTCCTTAGCCTTGCATCTTCTCTTCCCAGGATACAAACTGTCTTTCCAAGTTCTTTTCTTTACCTTCCCTTCCCTGAGGTCTCTGGTCTCTGCTTGTGGATAGTTTTTCATCAACGTTTGGTTTCTTGCATCGAGGTTCATAGAGACACGATTACTAAGTGCTGCATGGCTCCGTTCATGTTTTCCCTATGGTCTGCTGAATGATAAGCTGCCTGGTGCCACATCGTTGGTGGCAGGCCAGTCCCCTTAGCAGCCCACAAATGTGATTCCAGCACCTTCTGGCCTCCGGAGTCACGGGCAAGAACTTGGAGAAGAGTCTGTCTGCTACCAGGCTAATTGACCTTCCTTTGTAAACAGTTTGTTTGCTATGGCCTGAAAACACTATGAGTTCAGGAATTTGCCAGCAGGCACTTTATGTTTATCTTCCTCGAGTCTGACCTGAAACTCAGAGAGCAGTTCTCAGGGGCAGATTTGGGTCAGTAATTGGCTCAGAGAAGTTTTCTTCTACTACGTGTTCAGTTACTGCCTCTCCTCAGTGTCTTCGTTTTTCTCCTTCTGGAAGCCCCATTATTTACAAATTGGATCTGTCCTCCAGGTCTACTATTTTTAATGCATGATTTCTATATCTTTCTGCTTCTAATCTCTAATTTAAAGGAGTCGGTCGGCTTGATCTTTCAAATCACTAATCTGAGTCATAATCATAAGCATTCTCAAGCTTCTACTTCAAGCTGTGAGGGTATCAGACCAAACTGCCCACCAACAACACTTATAACGGATGGACAAAAAAAAAATTTAAAAAAAAAGTGTTGGGTTTTTTTTAGGTACTAGAGCATAATCCAAGCAGCCAACACTTAATCCTGAGTAGACAGACCAAGAGGCAGAAAAGTCATGTAAAGGTAATAGCCATGCCTGACTCCAGAAGTTTCATGGTGCTGAGAAAACAAGAATTAGGGTCTAGGTCTTATCAATGTGGATGCCACCTAATGATCACCCCAGGATTTCAGCTGGGACCCCAAGAGGCTACACCTTAGGAGTGAGAACAAACAGGTAAGTGGATCTGTGTGGCTCATGAGAGCAAGGATGCTCACTGCTGGAGAAAGAAACTGCAGACGAGGAGAAGGCGACAAGAAAGAATCTGTGGTGTTAGATCAACATGGAAGAGGTCGGTGTGGTGACACACACACGTGAGCATCTACATGGGAGTGTGTTTTCACATGCATAAGTGATACGCACATGAGCGTCCACACGGGAGTGTGTGTTCACATGCATAGGTGGCGCGTACATGTGAGCATCCACATGAGAGTGAGTGTTCGCATGCATAGGTGATGCACACATATGAATATCCACACAGGAGTGCATGTTCATGTGCAAAGGAATGTTGATGAGTATGCAGCGTGGATTAGCGTGTGTACTGTAAACACTCTTAGCTCTGCTTCTAAGAGGCCATGGAGCAGTGGTACCCAGCAGCCATGAGTGTATTTAGAGCCCAGATCTGGCTTTCTAAATATCATTTGTCAACAAAAGAAACCAGGGTTCTTTGGGGAAGAGGTTGAGTCCAGGGCTCTCACTGGAAAAATACAGGATGATCCTGGAAAAGAAGAAAGTGCTTTAAAGAAACGGAGATATGACAGAAGAATACAGGAGCTAATGGCAGAAGCTGGAAGGAACTGAACAATAAAATAAACATTGACAGCATCGAATTAAAACCCACAAAATGAAATAAATACCACGAGTCGATAACGTACAAATAATTGAATAAATGAACAATGGGAAAAAAGGATAACATTTCTGTACGGAATTCCAATTAATAAATATAGAAGGGATGAAGGAAATAAAAAACTATCATGAGACAACCATCCTAGTAACAATTCTTGCAGACAAAATACAGTGATTGATGCTGGAATCAATGGACGAAAGTTTGAAGAGAAACAGAACAGGTTGCAGAAGTTTCTCCAAGACACTTATCAATTACAAAAAGAAAAATAGTGGAGAAATTAATTAGCACCTTAACCAACTGACAAAGTTTAAAATCACTAGTAATAAGACATATCAACATCATAATGGAAAGCATAATGAAGAACACATCACTTCTTGCCACAAATACAAACTCTCAATCTAATCATGAAAAATCTGGCATACCCAACTGATAGATATTCTACAAAATAACTGACCAATATTTAATATCAGAGGGCCAGGGGCATGAAAGACAAAGAATGAGGAACTCTTAAAGACTAGAAAAGCTTATACAGAGACAAGTAAATGCTACCATGAAGAGAGATTTTTTTTTTATCACACTTCTCTCAGTTAAAAAAAAAAAAGATCTGAACATATGAATTAGACCTGAGATGCACACAGCACACAGCACCTAATAATAGAACACATGTCTATTTGTGCGCTCATGGCACATTTATAAATATGGACCAAATGCTGGCTCACAAAACATGGCTCAAAGTCATACGGAAGACTTACTGGGCCATGGTGCAATCACGCTGGAAATCGGAACAAAAAGGTAACTAGAAAACCTCCAACTGCTTGGTCCAGGACAGACTGAAGTTTGAGGTGGAGGGGTGGTGAGTTTAGCACCGTCTTTCTCAGGGCTGCTCCCCAAATGCCCTGCTCACTCAGACTCTGTAAATAGTACCTCCAGGGAGAGGCAACGCAGGGGCCTGCCCTGTTTGCCAGTTGACATGATTGATTTTATACATGCATGTCCCTGTGTGTGCATGTGTATGTATATGTATATATATGAGGCCCACTTATACATGCATATCCATGCATACATATGTGTATGTGTGTATATATATACACATGAGATCCATTTGTACATATCCAAGCATGTTCATGTGTATATGTATGAGACTCACTTACACATGCAGATCCATGCATACATATGTGTATGTGTGTATATATATACACACGAGATCCATTTGTACATATCCAAGCATGTTCATGTATATGTGTATGAGACTCACTTATACATGCATATCCATGCATACATATGTGTATGTGTGTATATATATACACACGAGATCCATTTGTACATATCCAAGCATGTTCATGTGTATGTGTATGAGACTCACTTATACATGCAGATCCATGCATACACATGTGTATGTATATATGAGACCCATTTGTGTAGACATGTCCATGTGCGTGCATGTGTATGAGACCCACTTACACATGCAGATCCATGTATACACATGTAGATCCATGTATACACATGTGTATGTATATTAAACCCATTTGTACATACATGTCCATGTGTGTGCATGTGTATGTGTATGAGACCCACTTATATATAGCATATCCATGCATATGCATGCGTATGTAGGTATATGGGTAGTCATATACACAGCTCACTTCATATGAATTTTTTTAAAGGAAAAGGGAGAAGGAAAAAAAGGTGGGAAGAGGGCGTGGGAAGGATGGGGTGCACGTCTGGAATAGAAACCTCAGCGCTCACCACAGTTATTTCCAGGGAACAGGCTGATGGGTCATCCTTTTCTTCCTCTCTCACTCGTGTTTTCTAAATGTTCATGGTCAGGTTCATTCTCAGTGGAAGAAACATACACTCAAGCCGGCCTCCTCCCACAGGGTCTTCCTGAAGCCCTGCCCGTGGCCAGCACTCTTCTGCTGATGCAGTGGCTTCTTCCCGCTCCTGAGAGCTGCCCCAGCAGACAGCAATACTGGGCCTGCCAGCTAGGCACTCAGCACACTCCGTGCCGACCGCCTCCTTCCGGCCTTTCCTGAATTCTGTCCAGGAGCTCCCCTAAACGCCGACAGCCAAACCAGGTCAGAATAGGAGTTACTTGCAGTGTTGCCCGACTGATGGGCTCGATCATTGCCCATGATCAAGAGCACGGGTAATTCTCTTTATCAATAATTTATTTGCCCGGAACAGACAATACAGCAAAGGCATTTATATTGAAACAAACAAAAAAGATGTTGGATGTATCTCAAAATTCGCCATGCCTTTTTTTTTAAATTAATAATTGCATTGTGTTAGAAGACTTAGAATGTGCAAAAGAGTATTAGTATAAAATCAATCTATCCTCAAACTCCTAAGTAAATTATTATAAATATTTTGGAAAGTTTATTTCCATACATTTTTTTATTTCATAATTGGGGCCATACTATGTACAGTTTCCCAACTCCATATCTTTTGTGTGTGTTCAAATACACGTGACAGAACATTTGCCATCTTACCCATTTTTAACTGTACAGTCCAGCGGCACGAAGTATATTCACAATGTGCAACCATCCACCTCTACAGTTTTTTTCATCTTCCCAGACTGAAACTCTGTACCAACTAAAGAACTTTCCATCTCTCCATGGGCAAACCCACCCCAACCCCTGGCTCCCACCATCTGCTTTCTGTCTCTATGAATCTGACACTCTAGGTACCTCACGTAAGTGGAGTCATACAGTAATGTGCCCTTTTGTGACTGGCTTATTTCACTCAGCATCATGTCTTTAAGGTTCATCCAAGTTGTAGCCTGTGTCAGAATTTCCTTCTTTTTTAAGGCTGAGTAATATTCCATTGAATGTGTGTACACATTCTGTTTGTCCATTCAGCCATCAGTGGACACTTGGGTTGCTTCCACTTTTTGGTTGTGGTGAATGATACTGCTCCGAACATGGGGGTATCTGTCTGAGTCCTTCCTTTCATTTTTTGGAGTATACACCTACAGGGGAATTGCTGGATCACATGGTCATTCTATTTTTAATTTTTTTGAGGACTCACTTAACTTTTAAGTGTGAGCTTTCTTCAACAATATTTTTGTAACTTTTTACTTTTATAAAATTTCAAACTTCCCAAAAAGTTGCAAAAATACAACAAACTCCAGTAACAACCAGATTCACCAATTGTCCTCATTTTTGCCACATTTGCTTTATAATTTCTCTCTTTCTCTCTCTACCTGTGTGTGCATAAGTGCAAACAGGTCAGATTCTTGGAAATAGTTACCTTTTGGCAACTTGCACAAACTCATCACTAGCCCGAGCCAGCTCCTCTGCCGTCTTCCCCAAAGAGGTGAACGCGTCACCCCCCAGGTCACTCCTCCCCATGGTGATGATCAGGTGGCAAAGCTGCACCATCATCGGTGAGATGAGCCTTTCGATGGCATCGTTCTGAATCATGGGGCTGATGTCATCCAGTGGGGAAGGCTCTCTCTCTTCCAGCCTATGAATAGGAGAGTGACAGGGTCATGGCCCATGCTGAATGGCATGCCGCAGTATTTGTCTCTGAGCTGACATCCATTTAATTCTCTTACTGTGGGAAAGAAGTCTGCAGAACATTTGGGGGTTAAATAAGGGGAGCTGTCGGGATCCCTCAAGTGTAGAGTAGGTTGTGACTCAGTAGCACCAGGTGAAAAGTGGGATTCAGACACAACAGTGGTTCAGAGAAACTGGATAGAAAATGCAAACAAGCTGTACGAAATGAGACAGTTCGAGAAATGGTTTTCTGGAAACCACTAATAACACAACACTGTACACAGAGGGGGATGTATTTTGCATAACTCTCACTCTCTGGAGCCCCTCAGAATGAGGGTGAAGCCATGTGCTGGAGGAGCCCTGCCCCGGCCTGAGTAGGTGACTCAAAGCCAAAGTCTCCGAGATCCTAGCAGCACATCACTCGAGATTCATAAACCTCCTTCCCCAGGCAGCATGCAAAGCTGAATGACAACCCAAGGATGTCACACAGGAATTCCCAGTATCATGTCAGTGGACGAACAAAATTCCAATGCTGAAATTCTAAGATTTGTTCGATTCTGTTCTCTCATCCAAAATTTCCCTCAAACAGAAATGAAAAGAGGAACCTCGGACTTCTAGTCTGGATGAAATAGGTTCCTGCCAGTTGAGTTCCTGCCATGACATCTACAACAATCGGGTAGATGGCACACAGTGCAGAACGCATCTAAGCATTGTGGAAGTGGCATCGCGACATGACCTGGAATTCCAGAAAGGAGACTCTTCCAGCGATGAGTTAGTATAAATGACTGTTTATTTTCAGGGACATTTATTAGTTCTGGGCGCAGGCTGAGGAACAGGGCCTGGGCTAGTCAGAAAAGTCTAGTTCTGGAGGAAACAAAACAAAACAAAAAAACCCTTTTATGATAAAAATAACCCCACACCTAGAGACATTACATAGTCCAACCGCTGAAAACCAAACACCAGGAAAAAAATTGTAAAGTGTCCAGAGGAAAAAGGCTTGCTACCTACAATGGAGCAGCATCAGACTGTCCACATATTTCTGTATCGCATAGCCCAGGTCAAAACCTCAGGGGAATGCAGGGCCGGAGCCATATTCAGTCATACAAAGTTCTTTTAAAGCAATGAAGACCCTCCTGAACCCTCTGAGTGAAACAGCAAGGACTCTGGGAGGCTCGAGGCTCATCCCACGCCTCTTGGCAGGACCTCGGACAGTGCCCCTCATCTCAGAGGTAGCAAGTCTCAGGATTAAGTCTCCTGCTTCTTCCCTGTGGGGAGCCCAGCTGCAGGGGGGAGGGGGGGTTACATCCCACGGGAGGCCCTTGGCTTGATTTGAGACATGACTGCTCTGAAACAGTCACTTTCTTTCTTCGGAGGATCAATGACATTCAATAGCATCAAACAAGTCTGCTGTCCTTGAACCACCCTGTCTCCTGCACCTCTAAAGACAGCCGTGTCATCCGAGGAGAGCCCCACTCTGGCTGTTCTTATCTTGATTTCACCACATTCGAGGAAAGTTTTAGCAGTTGCTCTGCTAAATGATGAGTTTTATGTGGTGTCAGTGGGCACTAGACTTATGTAAGATACATAAATGTCTAACCACTATGCTGTACACCTGAGACTAATATAATACTGCATGTCAACTGTAGTTGAAAATTTTTTAATTAAAAAATATCTGATGCTTTTATCAGCACCCCACTTACGGTAAGGACAGGGCACTCATCACTGGCTGGCTTGTGATTCCTCCAACTCCACAGTCCTGTCCTCAGTGTCTGCTCCCCGGGATCTTTCCTGCAGTCAACCTTCAGGATGAACTCCCTGAAACAGCCGACAGGGGGTCTAGGTGACACAGGTCCCCAAGAGAGAGAAGCACAACAGTGCCATGGTCTGAATGTTGTATCCCCCAAACTCATATGCTGAAACCCAACCCTTGGTGCAGCAGTAACTGAAGGTGGGACACTTGGGAGGTGCTCGGGTCACGAGAGTGGGGCCCTTGTTATTGGGACTCCTGTCCTTATAAAGGGTCCTGAGAGCCCCCCTGGCCCTCCCACCACATGGGGACACAGAGAGGGGAAAGCAGCGTTCAGGACCCAGGAGCTTGGCCCTCACCGACGCTGAGTCCAGTGCCTAGACCTTGGACTTTGCAGCCTCTAGAGAGAGAAACTCCTGTTGTTTATTGTGTTCCATTAGAGCAGCCAGAAGGGATCAAGATGGTAGGGACCAGACAGAGACAAGCTGTGCGTCAGTCTGGCCACGGGCAGCATAAACCGTCCAGCACAGTTGCTCCCTGTGAGGCCAGGGACCAGCGGTTTGTGCCCACATCTCGGTTCCCTCACGCTGCTGTAGCAGAATGCCGTGGACTCGAGGCTTAAACAACAGACATTTACTTCTCACATTCTGGAGGCGGGATGTTCAGGGCAGGGGTACCGGCAGATTCGCAGATTTGGTGTCTGGTACACGCCTCTTCCTGGTTTGTGGCCTGCCTCCATGCTGTGCCCTCATGTGGTAGAGAGATTGATCCTGTGTTTCCTCTTACAAGGGTACAGATCCCACTGGGGCCCACTCTCATGATCGACCCCCTCCAACACTGATCAGCTCCCCAAGGCTCCATCTCCACACTTTCATACTGGAGATCAGGGCTCCCACCTGCGAGTGTGGGCACTAGTGTCATTCAGTTATTTGCTGCGGGCTGCCTCCCAGGTCCCTTCCCTGTGCCCAGGCACAGGTAGAGGGCATGTTTCCAGATAAGGTGGTTCCTGCATCAAGGGCCATTCTTTGGAGGGACACACACAGACGATTGTGTGTGGAATAGTCTCACAGCAGTTGGGGATGGGTGCATGAACCTGGTGATGGGGGCAGATAGGGAGACAGAGCCAGCCTCAGGGAGGGGGCACAGTCCACGTACCCACCTCTATACCTGGTGCTGGGACTCAAAGTGGGGGATGATGGGTCACTTGGAAAGTCAGGGCCCTGTGCTCAGAGGAAGGGTTCTGAGCAGAAAAAGCCACCATAGCACTGCCATTTCATTTTGGGTGCCAAAGAATTTGACATAGTGTGTTTGAGATGACACATAGAGCACGCGACCCACTAGAGTAATTTTATAACTCTCTAATCATATTACTTACCCAGGACAAATCAATCAAGAATCCTTTAATTAAGCAACATCATCAATGACTTCATGTCTTAGAAGCATCACAAACAAGGGATCTGCTCTCCAGACCAAAGACAATTAGAAGATGTCATTGGCTGAAGTGAGCACAGACCTGGGGCCACATCTTGGTTGGGTCTGTGCCCAACTCCCAAGGCAAAGGGCCACCCTCCCAAGGTCAGCTTCCAACTCTACAGCTCCAGCCACCTCATCAGCCCAGTGCAAGTCCCCTTCTCATGGGCCATCAACACCCACATGTAAACCCTCTCCCGAGCCATTGACCAGCTCCCCTAACAGGGTGATTTACCACCCTGCTTTGGTACAATGCTGGCCAGTTGGTTCCTTTGGCCTTTGAAGTTCCAATGGTTGGCCTCGATTTTATATATAATACATGATATAAAATAAATATGTACTTTGTATAATGCATTGTATGCAGGTGTATGAATATATCTGCATGTAAATATACACAGCTGTACATGCCTGAAGCAGAGGAGTGGCTTCTTAAAGATGCAACTGAAGCGCCCATCTGGACATGACAGCCTGTGAGAAGACACACTCTTCTTCAAGATGGAGCACACCCCTTGAACGACAGCCATTGTGTATGGGGTGTTCCTGAAAGGCCGACTGACTACCTTGATATCAGAACCTAGTGGTGGAGACAGGAGTGCCTTTCTCGCCATCCACTGAAGGAATGTGCTTACCTTTCTTGTCCACTCTAGACTCTGTGAGGCTGGAAGCCCTGGGTCCCGAAGCATGGATAGGTGCACCCACGGGACATGCAGGCAGAGTGGGGCCCACGCAGGGGCAGACTCCTGCACCAGCCAATGCACCTTGCTGCTGGGGACTCACAGCTGCCCACCAGGGTCACTCTGAGCTGGCAGAGCTGTTTTCCCTAGGGCCAGTTCCTCCCCAGGGCAGACTGTAGCCAGTGACAGGTCCCCTGGCTTCCGGGATCATATCCTGTGTGTCAGACAAGGTCAGATTTGACCTGAGACCACATTCTTCCTTCCCCTCTGCCCTGCAGGCTCTTCTGGAGGGCATGTCCTCCATCACATGCCTCCCAGCCACTGGCCCTGCCATAATGCCTAGGGAAACTGAGCTAAGACCCTTCCCCAGTCTGTCTAGCCAGGGCTGAGTGCTCAAGCCTGTGGAGGGCCAAGCCTTGTGCCTGGAGCTGCAGGTAGCCGTCTTGCACCCATGATGGGGTCCTACCTGTGAACAGAGCAGCACTGAGGGATGGAGACAGTGTGGCCAAGTCCTCAGGATATTGCTTAAGCCTTTGGATTCAAGCAAAATGTTGTCCTCCAACACGTTCTTATTTTGCTTAAGCATTTGGGTTGCACTTGGGATGCCCAACTGGCACACCTGGGAACCCTCAGGCAGTGGGGACCTACCTGCCCGAACGCACAGCTGCTGGTGCTCAGCAGTCACGCTTAGAGACAGGGAGAGGAGCCACAGAATACTGGTCCACTCTCCAAATTATCACACACACACACACACACACACACACACACACGCACGTGGTTGTGTCTACTGTCATTTTTTTGACTTTAGTGGATTTTATATTCTCGTTTTTAAATGGACGACCCATACAATGTATTCATTGTGAATTCTGCCAATGGAACATTTTAACACCGAAACATATAAAATGACCCATTCCAGATAACAAGGAGTTTAACACATAAAAGGGGACGTGGTTATTCTCGCTTCTGAATATGCCAAGAATCAGCCAACACCATCTATGCCGAGGGTGTGAGTTGTAAAAACCCTGTGATCCAACTTTGATCGACAACCACAAGTGTAGCTACCCACAGAGTATCAACAGCGGGAAACGGGACATTTTTGCTTACCTTGATGGGAGGACACTTTCCTTGCTCTAAGCCAAAGAGCAGATGACCGCGTTCACTCTCGATGCAAGAAATCCAGTTTGCTGCTTCTGACCAGCAGCAAGAGTCTGTTTACAGCCACAATGTAGTTTGAGATTGTAGCTTCTCCAGCAACTGTTAGGCGATGCTGCTGTCGACGTAACAGACAGTGCTGCCAACAACTAAACCTCATAACTTATGCATGGAGCTGTGGAGGGTCTGCCGGCTCAGTCACAGGAAGAAGAGCTACATCAGACTTAATCCTTCCAATCGTAAAAATGAGATTCAGTTGCAGGTCTTCAAAGAGTTGCCTTGTGGGGGCTGAAAGGGAATTAGGTGGAGGACCCCTGAAGGCCAGATGAGGAATGGCTAAGCCAGGGGTCCCAACCCCTGGGCCGCAGATGGGTACCAGTTTGTGGCCTGTTAGGAACCGGGCCGCATAGTAGGAGGTGAGCAGCGGGCAAGCAAGCGAAGCTTCAGCTGTATTTGCAGCCACTTCTCAACACTAGCATCACTGCCTCAGCTCCACCTCAGATCATCAGGCGTTAGATTCTCATAGGAGCGCAAGTCACTGGTGCTAGAAAGATTGGGGACCGCTAGGTTAAGTGGTTTAACTGCCTTGGCTTCTTCCCAGTTCCTTTGTGCAGATTTTCACAAGATTTTGGTTTACAAGTGAACGGTCAGGCAACTGTCCCTTGGGAACAATAAAAAGAATGGAGGCTCAACCTGGATGGAAAATAGACATAGAGATGTATTAGGTGTGGGCTGTGTCCCAGGTGCTATGTCATCTCACTTATCCCATAGAGCAATTTAACCAGGTAAGTGCTATTAGCTTCCTTCTACACAAGAGGAAATGGGAGGGGCGGGGGCTTATGAATGGTGCCAAAACTTTGAGGATTATTTTCCCTTCAAATTATCATCCATTCCTTGAGTTGCAGTAAATTCTAAAGTCCACAGTGTTGGAACTGTGTCTGCTCCGGAAAACAGAAGCCATTTTAGGTACTGAAAGCAGAAGGAACAGCTGGGAGGCATGACGTGATCGCGGTGATGTCAGAGGCATAAGGGAGAAACAATTTGGGCTGTTTTGAGCATAGGACACAAAGACCAGAGAAGGGGGTTGAGTGTCCTCAAGCTTGTTTCCTAAGAGCATGACTGTTAGGCCCATGTGACAAAGGTCCTGGCTTTCGAGGCTCTCTGTCTGGCCCTACCCTCACCAAGGCCCTCCCCCGAGCCGAGAACGCTTTCAGGTGCTGGCGGAGCCTGAGGCCCCGCACAAAATGTGCACACACAGTGTCTAGGGGAGGATAGGCAGAAACCCGACGAGAAGAGGGCGCTTTTACACCGAGGGAGGCGGGGACCCGCACACCGGGGCCCAGGATGGCGGGGCATGTCCGGGGTGTTCTTTCTCTTAGAGGGGCGCACGGCCGATGTGGGCGATTTATAAGGAAGGGGCCTTCAAATGCACCAAAAGTTGTTTCCTAAAAGGCAGTTGGAGTGGGCCATCAGGAGAGAAGGGACTTTAAAGACCACTTCCCAACGATGAAAGGGAAATCAAGGTTCGGACGACCCAGCGCCTGCAAGTGGCAGGGCGGGCAGCGGGGTCCAGGGCTCCTGGGGCCCGCGGATCGTCCTCCAGAGAGACCTACAGTCACCCCAGCCATGTGCCACCCAACGGGTCCCAGCAAGCAAAAAGAGCCTCGACTCCAACGAACCGCAGACACTGGGACGCCCGGGGCTCTCCGTGGTCCTTTAGCGAGAAAAGAGTAGGGGCGCGTCTTGGGCACAGGCTAGGGCCTCAGAACTTTTTGGTTTTACCCCAAAATGTCCCTTTAAAATAGAGGTGGCAGAGCCAGAGTGAGCCACGTAAAAACGGATCTTCCGTTGGCACCGTCCCCCGGCTGTGACCCTGGGCTCCGGAGAATGCACCCCAAGCCCTAGGCCCTCTGCAGCTCCGCGCGGGGCGCAGAACCGACAGGCCGCTACCGGACCTGTGGTCGCGCTGGATCACGTGGCGGGGGCGGAGCCGCGCAGGTCCGGGACCCTGGTGACG